TCCTCACCTCAGTTGAAGTGGGAAGACATCCTCCGTGTCTTCATTAATACGATCTCAAAATACATAGTTATTTGTTGATCTAGTAACTACACAAGCATGTCTAGTCTCTTCTTACATATACTCAGACATAATTTTTATTGCCTAGTGACGTTGATTTATTGAAGCTAGATAAATTGATTTTCAATAAATCTTTTAAAAAAAACACACATTTGACTATTTATTTTAAATATGTGGCTCTAAAATGATTTGAGATTTCATGCTTAACTTGTTGTGCCCCTTTATGTTAATCCATCTCGTTCATTAATAATGTGTTTAGTACAACGTAATATAACAAATAAGAATAATTTTATCTGACCTGATGTTCAGTAAAAATTGAAAAGAAGTGTCCATTTCTTCTTCTCTTCTTATCATGTAAACTTCTCCTTTTTTTCTGTACACTTTTACTCATTTTTGACTTTTGCTTTTCTTTTGTCCACCTCCCTGACCTAATTCTTTTCATCAACATGTACTGTTGAAGTCCGAATTCCAACTTCATTTAAAAAAAAGAAGGGTATTTCCCAGATCATCATCCTACATGCTCTAAACATGGAGGTCGGACACATTAGCCCTAAGATTAGCTCGGACCAACAACCATCGTAATCTACTGAGACAGTGATGCCTAAATCCCTACCACTCCGTCATGCCTCACCGCTCACCATTCCAAGAATGACATTTAGCAACTCTGATGTCATACCTCTTCTCCAACCAATCAGTTGACAGTAATGATTATTTGGTGTTAGACTATCATTACCTGATAACATTAATTAAGTGTAGGCGTAACGATGACCTAACGAGGCCAATCTCAGCAACCAATCAAAGTAGCAAAAACTTAAATAAGTGGCACTCAATTTTAGTTGAAATTATACGAGTCGGACAAGTGGTGTGATCTTCCCTCCTATAAATATGAATCAATGGTTCCCTCCCAAGACAAAGGTCTGACCCCTTTAAAAGCAATACTTCGTTCCTCTATAATATTCTTACACAAATTGTGTACTTCTTCTCAAGTGTATTGACAATAAACATCATTTTTTCTCTTTAAGTTGATCAAGAAATCATATTACATTTTTTGACATCAACATGTATCATTGTAAGGTATGCTCGACATTTTAAAATTTCTATTTTAAATTTGATTTATTATTACATATTAGTTATTTAAATTTCTATTCCTATGATATTTAACATTTGTTCTCGTATTAGGTGATTGAATAAATACACAATCGTTTTGTATATAAACTATGCTTAAATATTGTACTAATTGTTTATAAACGACTAATTTCTTTTGTCTGGTATATTAAATATCCACACTCTTTATTTCATTGATGAAAGCACTTATAAGTTTATAATTTGTCTTTAAATCAGATTTATTTATTTATTTATTTATGTCATGTTAATATTAATTTTATTTTCTGATTTACCAAGTTTAAGAAACTTCTTTCATTATACCCTCATCACATAATTAAAAAAATTAACAAAGTTTTTTCTATTAACAAAATATTTCGTCTACTCACGACTTTTTGTTTGCACTATTAACTCACCAACGCTTTTCGGCCACATCCCGGCTTCAATTCTTCTTCTTTTATTTCTCATTGAAAGTGGCATGTGTTGAGTTAGGCTTACGCAGTTTCACAACAAACCATTGGTGTCTCTCGTGCTCTCCTTCAATGTGCATAGTATAGGCAAAGAATGTGTGAAAAAAGGTGGGTTTCTGAAATTCTATTAAGTAGAGTATAGGTCCCAAATGACAAGTCTTTACGCTTTTTTAAGTGAACCAATTTTGATTTTGTCTCTTGTGAAATCTATTTGTACCGGAGTTAGTGGCTCTAATCATAGTTGGGACAATGGCATGCTTTGGAAGCAAGGAGTGAAAAAGCAGATAACAAACAGCTTTTGTCTCCAATCTCGCACCAAATGCAATCATTCTTATGATATTTTGACATGGACTATTGCATAATGGCAAAGTTTTTAATTTTATCGTTATTTTCAATAAATTAAAAGTACTTTTTAAACATTTGTGTGTTAAATTTTACATTGTGGATGGCAAACTATTCCTTGTTAGACCATGTACTTAGGGATTTGCACGTAATAACGTTCAAATGTGATCTTTTATGTAGCCTTCGAATAGAATGAATGACTTAAGGTTCCTGTTAGGACTCGCAAAACTCCACATTGGTATGCTATTGTTCGTTTTGGATCGGACCCTCACGAATTTGCTTTTGGATATTACCGAAAAGGCCTCATATCAATGGAGTATTATCCTACACTTTTAAACCCATCATATTTCCCATATTTAGCCGATGTGGGACTTCTTTTACTTTTTCGACACAAGACACCTCAAACGCGAATGATTTATAGCCGACGCAAGGCTAAATGGGGGGGACCTCTATCACGCTTTCCGCTGCGTTCCACCGGCTAAGTTTTGGGCCATGGGCTCTGATATCACTTGTTAGGACGCGTCAAACTCCACATTGGTATGATATTATTCACTTTGGGTCTGGACCCTCACGAATTTGCTTTTGGATATTATTCAAAAGGCCTCATACCAATAGAGTATTATCCTACACTTATAAACCCATCATATTTCTCATATCCAGCAGATGTAGGACTTCTTTTACTCACAACAGTCCCTTTCCAATCTTGAGATTATGGTGTAACTTTTTATTTGTTGTGACGAAAAGAGTTATATTACTTTACTATTATAACTTTCGCATAAAATTCTTTTTTCCCTTTCCATATATAGTCTACTCGTTGGTTCTTGAAGTTTATTTTAGCAAAATTAACACAACAAATTTACTTTTTTTTTTCCCGCTCAAATTCATTGAGAGCAAGTACTTTACACACTAGGCGAATATAGTTTGACCCCTGATCATTGAAAGACTTTATAATTTGTAGGAAACTTTAGTTCACGTCACAAAATATCTTTTAATACATCCATAAACTAAATAGCAATTCTACCTCTCGATACTTTACCTTGACAAGAGGCACTCGTATCATGTTATCTCCTTTGCAATTTGCATAGGTGAACCAAAATACAAGCCACTATTGTTGACGAGGGGGGTGATTGTGGAGTTGATAGTGTAAATCAGAGTATATAACATATATTATGTGATTAGAGAAATTTTGTTAGAACGTAGAAGAAAAAAAGCTACAAATATCAATATTTAACCCCCGGAATTCAAATTTGAATTTGAATCTAACTAAAAATAAGACGCCAAAAAGAACCTCACTCCCATTTCTTGATCACGGGAGGTTTCATATGTTTTGATAAATAATATTCAACATAAAAATAATAAATGAAAGTTAATTTGGCATCAACTTTTTAGCTGTAAACTCCATAAATAACATCCTAAAAAGTGGGGAAAAAAAGGTTAGGGAAACAATAATTGCTCCGTTATTGAATATTTGATTGCTAAATTAGAAAATTAAGAGCGGGAAAGGTCCAAAAATGCTGAACGACCTTTAAGTGCGGCGATTAATGCGGTAGGTCAGTCGGGTAAATTAGTCAAAGCAAAGGGCCAAATTCCTAATTATGAATTTCCATTCTTTCTTTTTCATTCGTGATTGGCCACAAGAAAATAAATTTTTTTTGGCCACGCAACTTTTATCCTAATTGTCAAATTATACACTAAATTATATTGTATTTTATAAATTATTTCACTCCAATGAAAAAGCAACAAAAAAAATTAAAAAGAGAGATCTCATTGGCACAGCTATTCTCATGCATGATAGGTGGCCCATGACTAAGATGTTGAGTTAAGTCCCGCAACAAAACAACATTTGCATGTATAGTTATCGTTGAGTTTAAAATCCTAAATAGCCTCTCGACGATAAATTTGAAAATGTGCCTAGTTAACATTGACATAATCTTTAAGCTGGAGAGGCTCGTCCTTAGTGCTCCAAAGATATCAAATGGAGAAATTTTTTAATACTATCTCGGTATGAAACTCTATACTTTCATTTACTAATCAAATGAAAATGTGTATTATTTATCTATGGTTAAGTCCCAATTTAATAGTAGATCTTAGTTATTTAATACACTTATCAATAGGGAATTCTCTCATGTATTTCTTCGTTCATAATTCGACATTCTATTGTCTCGTATACAACAGTGTATAAGATTTAAATGTAGATCATAATTGGATTAAAATCTAAGTCATTGTTTGATTTAACTAAAAAATTGAATTAAAATTTAAATCAAGATCAGTAATTAATTTTAACCACGTGTTTCATAAGATTCACAATTTTTAACCAATCATTCCATTAATTTTTATCAAAATCTGTTAAAATTTTGATTTGTATCTAAACCAAACATTGGCTTAGAAAATCTAATTATACCCAAAAGGATGAGTAGTTTTTACCGGCCAAATAAAGCAAAAAATTTTTTTTTTGTAAATTATTTAAACATATACTATAAATAAAGAGAATTGTATATTTATACAAAGTTTTTTTGAGTGATGTAGATTTTTTAAAAATAGATTTTATGAAAAGGAATTTTTAGAAAAACGTGTATTGAAAAGTAGAAAAAAATTATGATCCCGTTGAAAATAATTATATTGAAAAATTGTGTAATTAAAAATGAATATAAAAAAATAAATATGAGAAAAAAAGGGGCTAAATGTAACACACCTCAGAATAATTGTGTCATTAAACAAAATTTTGAAATCTGCAGTTGTACGTTACTACAGTGGTGGACTTGTGGTACTTGATGGAAGGATTAGATTACGGGGCGGACAAAACAAAAAAGGTCTGAAATTTAAAAAAAAAAAAAAAAATGTGTACGCAGTAAAAGAGAGGTTGCACATTACAATGCATTAGCAAAGAAGAAGAAGAAAAGAAACGGACACTTTTTCCAGTTTTTATACGGTTTATTGGGTCACTCACATGAAGAGTTCACCCCCACACCCGTACCCACCCCCACATCCCAACCCTCTATCTTCCCTTCTCCTTTGGACTTCTCTCATTCAATGCTTTACCGAACACACCACAACCCTTTTCTCTTCTCATTCAACCCTTTTTCCCCCTCTTCTCATCCTAATTTGCTTTCCTCTTCACCTTCTCTGCAGGTATTTTCAACCAATTTTGCCTTGCTTTCTTTGATTTTGTTAACCATTTTTCTTATTTGCATGTCGGTTTTTGATTACAGGGCATGGAGTGCGCACAAGGGCCTTTGAGAAGCGGTTCTGGGCCGGAGATGGGGTTGAAAAGCACACCTCAAACGATGCTTTTTGATGACTTTTTGGCGGTTAATGGTGCCCAAAGCGGCGTTTCTGTTGATGACCTCTTTGTTGATGACCTCCTTGACTTCTCCAATGGCTTTTCCGAGACAGAGGAGGAAGAACCGGAAAAACATGAACCGGAAAAACATGAACAAAAAACGGTAAATGATATAAGCCACCCCATTAACAGTGCTTCCTCTGTAAAAGAGGATTTTGGGTCTCTTCCTTGCAACGAACTAAGCGTTCCGGTGAGACCAAGTTTCAATTTTTATGCATAATTTTTTGGAATTAACCGGTTTTGGACGCTATATTTGAAGGAAAAAAAAACTAATAAAGAAGGTATGGTGTATTGCAGGCAGAGGATTTGGAGAATTTAGAGTGGTTATCTCATTTTGTGGAAGAGTCATTCTCCGAGTATTCCCTCACCGGGAAGTTGCCACCGAACCCGACCGAGAACCGGTCGGAACCGGAAGTCTTTGTTCCAGAGAAGCCCCGTTTCACCACTCCGGTTCAGACCAAGGCCAGAACGAAACGAACCAGGACTGGTGTACGAATTTGGCCACTGGGGTCGCCGGAGACGTCGTCTTCATCCTCATCTTCAACCTCTTCAACGACGTTGTTTCCAGCTCCAAGTCCCTGTCTCGTTTATGCAAGCCCGGGTCAGAGCCAGACCGCCGAGTCTTTTCTAGGAAACCTTCCGTTCAAGAAGCAGAAAAAGAAACTAACTGAACCCGTCGGCGGTGTTGGAGCACCAAGGAGGTGTAGCCATTGTGGCGTTACCAAGACCCCACAGTGGCGGGCCGGTCCGCTTGGTGCCAAAACCCTTTGTAACGCATGTGGAGTGAGATATAAATCGGGCCGCCTCCTACCCGAATACAGACCCGCCTGTAGCCCCACTTTCTCAAGTGAGTTACATTCCAACAACCACCGGAAAGTTTTAGAGATGCGGCAGAAAAAGGAAGTGGACGCCGCTGCCGGTTCCGCGCCGGCCGTTCCAAGTTTTTGAAGAATTTAATTATAGGAGGTAAAAGTAGAGGAAAATTTAGCGAACCGGAGAGAAAGAACCGGTTTAGGTTAAATTAGGCCCGGTTCAATTCTTTCAATGGACCATGATTTAAATTGATGCATGTTACTCTGGGGAGTTTAACTGAAGAGTTACTTTATTGTAATTTTAATTAATGGTTTTAAATGTCTGTTTTGGGTCTCTATTTCTTTGATATTACGATGAAGATGAAAATTATTTTGTGCGTGGGTGTGTGGGTGGGTTGGGTGGGGGGATTGGCATTGGTAGTGTGTAATTGCGTCTAATTTAAGTGTGTTTGAAACGGTTCAACCTTTTGTGGGATATTGTTGAAAAGTGAAGCCATGAGGTATGCAAATACACGCTTTATAAATCAAAACATGTCACGGGGGTGGGATGGGGTTAGGACGATGGGTCGGGTAAGCATTTAGTGTTCCTTGTAAGAATGAATAATGTAATTTCGCATCATTGATATCAAACACCAGTTTAGATGATAATTGTACAGTATTAAATAATAAATATATTTAAATTTAATGTCGCACAATTCATTTAGTTGATCATATAAATTTTTAATCACTTAAATTAGTGCTCTAACATTGATAATGCTATCAATCACTTGCGATGTCGAATTGTAGTATAGGTATATCATATGTCCTATTAAATGCACCATAATTTTTTTGATAAGTGTAATTAAATTAATCATTTAATTTTATTTTTCATGTAGCATATCATCTAACGCAACATAGAACCATAGGTTGAGGTTATAATCCCAGTGTGGATTAAATAGCATCATCATATTATTATTATTATTATTATTATTCTCTTCCACTCTCTTTCTGGGGTTAGGACGATGGGTCGGGTAAACATTTAGTGTTCCTTGTAAGAATGAATAATGTAATTTCGCATCATTAATATCAAACACTAGTTTAGAGTCCCGTTCGGGAGGGATTAAAAGCCAATTAAAATTGAAAATATGGCCGTTATTGGACCCCACTCGTCTAATAAAAGTCGACAATAACGGCTATATTTTCAATTTTAATCTGATTTTAATCCCTCCCATACAAGCCCTAGATGATAATTGTACAGTATTAAATAATAAATATATTTAAATTTAATGTCGCACAGTTCATTTAGTTGATCATATAAATTGTAATCACTTAAATTAGTGCTCTAACATTAATAATGCTATCAATCACTTGCGATGTCGAATAGTAGTATAGGTATATCATATGTCCTATTAAATGCACCATAATTTTTTTGTATTTAATTGAATATATAATTTAATGTCACTAGTACTATCACCTATACTAGTATTAAATATCAGTGGTGTTATATAATTTTTTTTAAAGTAGTGTTTTTTAGCTTCAATAAAGTTGTAACCCGAAACCATGTAGCGTTAATGTGACATTAAATGATAAGTGTAATTAAATTAATCATTTAATTTAATCTTTCATGTAGCATATCATTTAACGCAACATAGAACCATAGGTTGAGGTTATAATCCCAGTGTGGATTAAATAGCATCATCATATTATTATTATTATTATTTTTATTATTCTCTTCCACTCTCTTTCACATCTCTAATCCGTACACAACGATGTATAAATACTATTACTCTAATTTTAAAGTCTTATGGATTTCCGAAATCCCTTTACGCATATTTCCTCAACATTATATTTCGACTATTTCCGAGAAGCATACCTCTAATTTTCCTAAGCGTTACTCATCTATCAATATTACGAAAACATTATTTTAATTCTGACTACAATATATTAAGGGTTACATATTTTTTTCGTAAACTCAAAGCTATTTCTTAAGATTTGTTTTGAAAAAAAAAATAATAATTCGGTGACTGAATAGCCTATTCAATATCATAGTGAAATTTAAAATTCAAATTTGAAACTCTTATGTGTATTGGATTGCGTTTTTTTATATAAAAAATGTCAGATTTTCACCTAAATTTCTAATTCAAAGCGTTTGATCGCTATTTTTTTTTTCATGAAAATGTTTTCCAACTTTTAAAAATATGCATCATTTTTCTTATTTTTAGGAAAAATATTTTCTTTTCTAAAATATATTTTTCATACCAATCAGAAACGCTCTTATAGATTCTTTACTCATCCATCAATAATTAGAAACGCCTTTTGGGTCCGACTTCTATATATTAGAGTGAATTTGTAATTAAAATACAAACTGTATTCTATATCATTGAAATTTGTAATTCAAATTCGAACTAAGAACCCCTTTTTTTTAAAAAAAAAAATTCGTTAAATTAATTACAACGGATGAATTCTTATTTTATTTGTTATGATTAGAATTGTAGAAAAAAAAACTGCCTCTTTGTTTGGGAATTGGGAGTATCTTTCAGAAACCCTATGACATTTGTATGGACGTTGATGTGGGCCCAGCCTTTATTGACCGATTGGTAACACTTTCTGCAAAGCATCAAAATTTCCGAGTTACCTTACCCGTATCTATAAAGTTCCTTCTCTGCTTTATAATCACTTTATTTTAAAATTTAAAGGGCCACAATTAAAATTTGGTTATATTCATCCTATAATTTTTATTTTTTGTATCACATTCTAATTATACTTAAAGTTCTTAATTTTTGCTCATTATATAACTTATGTCCTTAACGATTGTTCATAACATTCTTATTTTCAAACTTTTTTATTAATTAATACATTTTGTATTTAATAACAGTTTTATATCAAAAAGTTCGTTGAAATGACGTAAAATAACTTATTCTCTCATCACATTTTTTTTAAAAAATAAATAAATAAAGCAAAAAAATATGTTTGCTTCATTTTAAAGTACAAAAATACAATATTTTGATATAAATCATTATCAAGGACGAGACATACCATTGGTTGCACTCATATAGCTAACGTTTTAAAATGTGACACTCATGTCTCTAGCAATCCCAAAGACGTTTATTTGAAAGTTAAATTATCGTGTGATGTTCACATGATGGTATATTTTTATCCTATTTTATTTTTCACGAATAGTAAAGAATTTTATCCTATTTGGGTTTTTAATCAAAGTTGAAATAAGTGTTTGGTTTGTCTTAAAATATAGAAAATATTTTTCTTATGATAGCATGTTAAGGGATAAAAT